AAAAAAAAAAAAAAAAGACAATTTCTGCTGTATTTAAGTATATATAAATATATAAATACTAATTTTTTGGTCCAAATTGTTAAACTTCTGAAAGGGGGAATGATGGTGTGATTCTAAGTTTCTGGATAGACTTTTCATCATTCTGCTCTATTTTTTCCTCCTTGCCCATGAACTTGTGATGTTCCATGTCAGCCTCCACTATCTGATTCCCACAATGTCTTCTGTAAGTGGCTTCTCAGTATTGCAACCTGTTCTTGCAATCACTCTAAGAACGGCCGTGAAAAGTGCACAGGGGTAGCTATAGAAGTCAATTCAGAGAGCCAAAAACAGTCCAAGTAGCAAAGCTGAGTTAAGGGGATATCTTTTCTCCAGTCTCAGGTTTCCATTGGCACTCCTCACCTCTCAGTGTGTCTTCATTTATCCCTCTCCTTTGCTCTCCCAGAGGAAAAGGAGTGAATTGTCTGATTGGTGAGTCTAAGAAAAAAACTGGGCATACTGGACTCAGCCTTTCTGATATTTTCATATTATCCATCTGACTCCTGCATCCGTCTATCATTTAATTCTAAACTTAGAAGAGAGAAGAGATGTTCCTTTGTGGAAGCAAAGCTAGATATGCCATATGCTGCAAATTGAAAATATGATAGCAGAAATTAAAAACCAAAACTTGATATAGTAACTTTGGGGGCATTCAAAGAAATATCTAAGTAAGAGGAATTTTTTTTTAAAAAGACAGGTGGTAAATAGGAGAAAAGGGATAAGAAATGTAGAGTCTCAATCCTGGAAGTCTAACATCCAAATAAAACAAATTCTAGAGGAAGATAACAGAGAAAATGAAGGAGATAAAAGACATAATATAAGAAGTTTTCCCGGAACTAAAAAACATGAGTTTCTGAACTAAAGAGGCTTTCCCTACAATATCCTAACATGCGTAAGGCAAAATACTGGCACGAAAGTCAAGATGATGAAATGTTAAAACATTGGGAGCAAAGAGAAGATTCTAAAAATTTCTAGAAAAAGAAATAGATAACAAACAACAGGTCAAGAATCTGCATGAATTCAAGCTTCCTAATAGCAACATCGGAATTTAGAAGACAATCCTTCAAATTCTGAGGGAAGATGATTTCCAACCTAGAATTCTATAATGTATAAGGGTAGGATGAAGAAATTTTCAGTCATGAAAGGCCTCAAATTTTAGCTCTCATCCATCCTTTCTCAGAAAGCTCCTGGAGGATGTGCTCCACCAAAACAAGAGTATAAACCAAGAAAGAGGAACACACAGGGATCTAGTCTGAGAGACAGAGGTGATGGGAGTTGCAGGAGGATGTTGAAGAAAGAACCCCAAGTGACAACTGTGCAGCATGCTTAGAAAAGAACCACACTGGAGCAGCTCAGGAGGCTTAAAACAGAGAATTGGTAGATGATTTAGTTATAAGCCCACAGGAAACTAAGCAAACAAAAGCAGACTTTTTTTTTTAACCCCAAGGAAAACAAGTAGGACAATAATGAAAACGTCATTGTAGTCGCCTATAGGGCTCAGCTACAAATAGCATTTAGAAGGTAATAATACTGAATACTGGGCTAACCAAAAATTTTGACACAACCATATTGGAAGGATGACTGGAAGGAGAGCTTGAGTGTGTGGTCAACAGGCAGTAGAAGAGAACTAAATCATCATCTTCCACTAGGATGGCAAGAGATAAGACCTAAAACTGAAAAAATCTAAAGTAACATGTTATTTAGAGGTATGAAGTCAAATACCTACAGAAACAGCTACAAGAGTTGAAAATAGTTGCCTCTGGGAAGTGAGAAATGGGGAAACTCTTGTTCCTAATAAGACGTGTCATTTTCTGACTTTTTTAACTATTTAGCTGTATAATTAACTTTCATAAAAATAAAATCTATTTTAAAAAAAGATTTCTCTCTGGCTGTTTCTACACTACATAGCAATGGGTTTCATTTGCAAAATAGAGATTGCACCTTTCTTTTTGTTGCTCACAAAGCTTCATTACTCCAAAAGCTTTCAGAATTTCTACACTGCAGTCCACAATGCTTGTTTTTTGCCTGAGGTGTGTTAGCTATTGTACACTTATCATGGGTTCTTTGCTTAAAAGTTCTACTGATCAACCACTTGGCCATTTACTCCAGCCTAATTCTAAAAATAAATGACTCTTGTGCTGATTAAATATTGTTATCTCTACAGTTGTATGCAGGCCCTGATTAATGACATATTGATAACTAAAAGCATAAAACTACAGTTCTTCATACAAAAATGTTTGTGTGTACAATACTTCTAGTTCTGCATCTTATGAGATGTATAAACAAAACAACTGCTGGCTTTTATTGCTTGAAAATAATATTTATTTTTAACTTTGCGTTTTTAAAAATAAATTTATTATTGAGTGTACAATATTGAGAGCAGTAGGTGAGGGTATAATGGAATCAGTTTGAAATAAAGGTCATTTTTTAAAATAATGTATGCTCAGGTCTGTGTATTTTGGTGATGTTATGTTAGCGAAAGTCACGAGAGAAACAAAATTTTTTCATCGTTGACTTTGATGGTAAATCCCTGAAAAGAATGATTAATATCCTTCAGCTTTTCATTCTGCAGTACAGCACATAGCCAAATGAAATTTCAGTCATATTATTATTTGGGATGGTGGCATTATCAGATTTTACCCTGTAAGATATTCAAACATTTGTGATCTGATTTTAAAGATGAACCCAAGTCCCAAAAAGGGCTAAAAATGTAATCTCCAAAAGAGGGGGGAAAATCTCTCTAGTTCTGTGATGTTTAATATGCAATTTTCAAAGACAAAAACAGGGTCAGTTACATTTTTACACTTGAGTGAGCACAAATCAGAACCACCTAACTTACTCTGAAGAGGCCTGATTGTCATCCACCTCACTGTTTGACAGAGGAGGAAATTCAGCCTCAGAGAAGGTAAGTGACTTGCACAGGCCACGCAGCAGCTGAGTGGAGACCCCAAATCCAGAACATCTGCTTATCACCCCAGGAGTCTTGCGCCAGGGCATGCCCTCACCTTCTGGTAACCGTGATTATCATCATATATATAAAATAATAACAACTATAATAAGACCTCACACTTACTGAGCACTCAGTATGCATCTGGCATTGTTTCAGCGCATTCCGTGTGTTTAGCTCATTTAATCCTCCCAGCATCCCCAAGATGGGAGTGCCCGGACTACTCCCACTTCACCTGAGAAGCCTGAGCTAGCCTGAGCCTGAGAGGTTAAGTAACAGCCCAAGCTTCCTCACCAATAAATGCCTGAGCCAGGACAGGCACTCTGGAAGTCCAACTCCACTGAACCCCTGTACTGAACCCCTGTTTAACCCATTAATTGCTTATAGTGAAGTAATGATGATTAATAAAAGGTGAAAGATGCTCGAAGAGCTTTGTTATCAAGCAACTTTCTCTCCAGAGAGTAGGGAATTTCGGGGGCAGCGGGCTTAGGGGAGAAACTATTTTATATTTTATATATTTCTGAACATCTGCCAAGTCATTGTTGGAAATATATTTTAGAGTAAGAACGGTAACCTTATCACCTGTAAAACATACAAGTCAGCCAAGCAAACTTTCACCACTAAATTCAAACTTATAAGAAAAAAAAAAAAAAGCAAAGAGACTTGGGAAATCTACGAGGCTTTTGGAACTAATAAACTATGAGCAGCAGCCGACTGTGGCCCAAGCTTTCTGAAGTCCCCCGGCCCACCAGAGCACTGACGCCTTCCCCAGCCCCTGACCTCAGCCACACCGTCGGTGGCCGAGATCTGCCCTCATCTGGGCTAACAGTGAATCCCAGGCCACGTGTGCAGGGGTCACGGCCGGCATCCAGACCTTCACCGCAGGGGCAGCACAGACGCGTTGGCAGACCGCGGATCTCGCCCGCAGGGGGACACACCCCCATCTCCAGCCCGTCCAGGGAAGTCACCGACTCCTAGCTCCAGGCCCCCACAGCCGAGAACTGAAGAATCGGGTTCTAGGGGAACAGAGCAGCCCGAGGTCTGCAGTAACCTGGGAACTGCGAGGGGGGAGAGAAGTAGATGTGGGTTTCTCGGCCGGGCGTGGCGAGTCCGCAGCCGTTGGATACAAGTGCCCTTTTTCATAATCAGCAAAGCCGGCGCCCCGCCTGCTCGGCTGGCAGGGATTCGGCGCAGACAGCCTGGAGTTCGAACGCTTAAAACTTGGCCATGCATCCCCACTGTCAACACCTTCTGCCTTCTCGCTGTAAAGAGTGCGTTCACTGCGAGTCCGAGGTGGCCAAATTGGGAAGAGGGACGGCCGCAGCGCCATCCTCCACGACGCCTCTACCCACTCTCACCTGTTCCAGTGGCAGCCAGCCTCCGGTTGCGCTGTCTCCCACCGCCAGCGCCCAGGTGCCGGCTGTGCCAAGTCGTGGCTCGGCCCCTCTCCCCTCGGGTCTCCCCGCGTGGGGTCGGGGGGAGCTGTGCCGGGATTGCACCAGCGACAATCCAGGCGCGTGCGCGCCAAGGGGAAGCAGAGGCGAGATTCCCCGAGTGTTGTGCACCCCAAACCTGACGCCCGGAAGGCGGGAACTGCGCTATGCTGGGATCTCAGCCCGCCTTCCGGTAGTCCACTCCACAGTAAAATGGGCTGCACTGGGAGCTTCTGCGATTACATATCCGCGACCACCCGCTTCTCCTCCCGCTCCCTGTAGCCATAGCCACCATCCTCATCCTTGAACTCTTTGTCCAGTTTGGTGGTTATTCAAACCCCCACAGACCCGCGGAGAAAACTTGGGGTCACGTGGAAAGGAGGTTCAGCGCCTGCTTCTCCAGCGCGCGCTTTTGCAAAGCCTCGCTCCGGGCGCTTTAGAGACCGCGACGCCGAACGCGCTGGAGGAAGTCAGTGTCGCCTGAGTCCAGACACAGCGAGGCATTTTTGGTGGAAACCACAGAAGCTCATTTATAAGGGGCTGGAGGGGCCATGGAAGGAATAAGAAGGGCGATACAATGAGCGTTTAAAAGAATCTGGGATCTGTGGAAGGAGCAGCCGGGAAACCCGGATACCCCGGCTAGCCAAGTGGCGGCGCGCGGGCTGTAGGGCGTCCGCACACGCTTCGGCCCTAGGAGGGACCGCACGTCGGAAAAAGACTGGGTAACAAGTTCTTTCGGCCTCCGCACGCTTTTAGACCCTGGTTGGAGCAGGGCACCGGGAGTGCGTCCCTAATCGCCAGACCGGCGCCGGTGAAGGGAAAGCGAGGAAGAAAAAACTCAGGCAGTTTGATGGCACCTGTCAGACCCGGGCACACGGGAGCTGCGGGCTCAGATGCCCCTCCCCCAGGCTCCACCACCTCCCTAGGACCCTCTACGTACACCCCGCGACCGCAAGGGGTGGTGGTCAAAGGTCGTCGCAGCCAGGCAGCGCGCACCCGGGCGAGTCCCAGTGCGCCCCCTCCCCAGGTCTTCAGTGTCGCAGAGGGTAGTGGGGTCTGCAGTGTGTAGGGAGAGCCCCGGAGAGCGGCTGGGTTAGGGCCGGGGGACAGGAGCGCGCTTCTGCTCACCTCGCTCACTGGCCTGGATGTAGCGCACGATGTCGTCCAGGTCCAGGTCTTTGGTCTCATCGAAATTGTAGGCGGACGTGTGCAAGCCCTCCTCCTGGAAGACCTCGTGGACCCCTTCGATGGTGAAGTAGCAGTTCCGCTCCAGCTTGTCGTCGCTGTAGACCAGCGCGGCACGGCTCCACTGGTGATGGCGAAACAAGGCAAGCATCATCTCGCCCATCTTGTCGTACGCGGGCGCCACGCGCGTGAGGTGTGAGTATTCAGTGTCCTTGTGCTGGAAGCCGGCGGCCAGTGCCCCGGCCGACAGCATGGGCAAGTCCCAGTGCGATGCAAGCCGGGCCACGGGCGCCGCGGCGTACTCGCACACCGGCCCCAGGATAAGGTCCGGCTTGGCGCCCCGCGCCGCCGCCACGCGGTCCACCAGGCTGAAGAGCGCGCGGTTGCCGCAGGCTGAATCTTCGTAGGCCACCTGGAAGCGCGTGCCAGGTGGCAGAAGCCGCCACCCGGTCCCGTTGCCCTCCACGCTGCGCAGCGCGTATTCGATGGCCGGCCGCACCCGGGCCAGGGAGAACAGGTACGAATCGTCCTGGGGCAACAGCACCAGCACCTCGATCTTCTGCGGCGTCAGTGCCTCTCTCTCCCGGCGCCCGCCGCCCGGGCCCGCGCCCCCGCCGCCACCGCCACCGCCACCGCCACCCGTGCCGCCGGCCAGCAACGCCCAGCTGAGCAGGACGCACGCGGAGAAAGTGAGCACCAGCAGGGACGGCATCGTGCCGCAGGAAAGCGCCTGCCCTGGCTGCCGGCTCGCCCTCTGCCCCCCACCCACCCTTCTTCTTTCCTCCCCACTCTTCTCTCCCAGGTCCCTGCGCCCCTTTGGGCGCTCTAAGAAAATAGAACACCCCCTTCACTAACTTGCCAAAAGATAGAGAGGAAGAGTCCTTCTTTGCAATCTCACTCGTTTAAAAAAAAAAAAGAAAAAGAAGAAAAAGTTCACCGGGTGTAAACCTGTACGCCTGTAATATATTTATATATATATACTTATTATAAATATATATATTCGCCCTCCTTATATATATACTATTTTGCTTAGAGGTGGCTTCCTATTTGGGCGTTGCAAAGATTGCTTTTGAAAGCGTATTTGTAAAAGAAAAAAAAGTTAGACTTGTCCAAGTGCTTGTAATTGACGGTGCATCTCCCTCGCGTTTGATCTCATTGATTCGCGCCGGTTCCTGGATCCATAGCCCGCGTTTAAATAGCGTGGCAGCGGCTGAGCGTGTTACCACACATGGCGCGCCGAGGCCGGGGTTGTATTTCCAGCGGGTAGGGTGGGTGGGGGTGGGGAGTGGTGGGGGCTGGGCTGGGGGAGCCTCTCATTAACATTCTTACATCAGGGCTCCTCCCCGCACTCCTACCGGTCCCACCCCTCCCCTGTCCCTAACCCCCTCTCCCTGCCAGACCTCGGCCTTTTCCTTAAAGCCGCAGTCGCCCACTTCGGCACGGCCGGGAGCCCCCACCGCACCCCACCGCCTCCGGGGTCCTCGCCTCTCCCCGGCCCCGCACGCGGCAGCCCTCTCTCCAGTTCCGTGCTTTAAAAAAGGAAATGTTTGAAAGTAAAGAAACGCGCTCAGGCACACACACACCGTGCAAAAAAACCAACAGGATTAGAGACAGGAGGTGGTCCTAGAAATTGGTAGTTTCTTTGCAAAAATCCGTAGGTCCTACTCTTTCTCACCTTTTTCTCCCTCTGGCCACATTCCCTCCGGACGCGCCATCTCTGGGCAGGCACCCGACCTTCCTCGGTCCCCTGGCGCAAGGTCAAGGAACAGGGACCAAGGTCCCAGGCAGACGGCTAGACCACGGACCTGGAACGCCCAGTTTGCCGAGGCTTTACTGGCACCCCTCCTTCTCCCGCCCTCCTCAGTCCCGCGCCGGCGTCCTCCCCCCGGGCCGAGTGGGTTCGCGCTGGAGTCCCAGCGTTGCGGGGACTCCAGAGTCCCCGCGCACAGACATTCCGCCGGCGCATTGCAAGCAGAAAAGCGAAACTTGTTGCTCCCAAAGGCGAGCGAACGGTTCGGCTTCTGGAGGTGGCAAAAAGCTTGAAAAGCATCTCCAAGCCGTCCTCTGGGCTTTGCTTGCTAAACCAGGTAACTAAATAAAGAGACTTTCTCCCTAAATGGTTAGCCCAAGTGTCCCCTGGATGCAGGCGCACGCTCCGCTGCAACCCCGGCGCTTGGAAATCCAACTGCTTCTCCTCGCGGGCGCGCGAGACGCTATGCTCGGGGTTCTGCAGTGCCGAGAAAGGTCCTGCGTCCGAGACCCCGTCCTGCCTCTGGTCACAGCCACAACAGCAGGGGAGACAAGGATGGAAACGGCCGTGGGGATGTCCTTGGCCAGAGGAGCCTCGCTGGAGTCCGCGCGCTTCAGGGCAGGTCCAAATGGAACTTGACCCTCTGAACGTGGTAACACACCGAGGTCATTTGCAGTGTGAACGTGGTATATTGGACGGGAGAATTCTGACACTTAAGTCCCGCAAATTAAAATAAATTGAAAATGTTTTTAAAAGGTCTTTCATTTGACTGGGCGTCCCTGTCCACAAATTTCTGTTAGTCTTAGACCAACGCCCTCTTTCGGCAGAAACTTGCAGCCGACTTGTATCCCTGATGCCACCTCCCCAGGCGCTGCGTTTGTGGGTTTTGTTTTTGTTTTTGTGTTTTTTTAAGCCGAGGCCTCAAAGAGCAATCCCTCTCATTTGTGAAGGTGAAAAGGCAAATTGGAGTTTCCAGAGATGTGGCAACTTCAGGCATCAGCGTTGGTCGCCGTTAACGACACCCTCCTTATCGCTCTTTCTGGCGGGGTTAATGTAATTATGGGTAACGTTTCATCGTCTGGGTCATTTAGATTTCAGATTATGCAATGCGATCCCTGAATGTTCAGGTAGGACAGTCTAACTCCTGTGAGAACTTTCATTTATTTAATTTAGAGCTGCTAATCAGTAGCAAAAGAGGCATCTGTATAAAATTTAATTCCACAGAGAGGGTAATCTGCACACACTGGAATTTGAGACAGAGCTTCATAGCAATTAAATCCTCCCTAAATTCCTGGGAGGAATGAAGGAAGGGAGGGAAGAGGAGAGGAAGGAAGGAAAGGAGGGAGGGAGGAAGAAGGAGGGAAGGAAGGAAGGAAGGAAGGAAGGAAGGAAGGAAGGAAGGAAGGAAGGAAGGAAGAAAGGAAGGAAGAAGGAAAGAACAGCTAAATCTCGACTTCCAAGGGTCTTAATGGATTTCAAAACTAGTTGCCAGGAGACGTGAAGGAACCAGGGTCTCCTATTACTACTCGCTATGCCCTGTGTCTGGGGAACACCGGCCAATGGCGATATGATTCTGCACACTGCGTAGCGTGGGCTTATTCGCAGAGTCTGAGGTTTCAGTGGCACCAGGCATGAATGCCTCTCCCCTTCCAGGCGCTGCCCAGCCGCGCCGAGGGTCACCGGCAGGGCAGAGCGTTTACGTGTCAGTAAGTATCGCAGCCTCTCGGTGGCCTTTGGACCAGAGCTCTCAGCTTCCAGCTTGTCACTCAAGAGCACCGACGAACCAAGCTGTGGAAGGGAAGAACCCCCAAACTAGACAGCAGAACCAGAAAAGCCAGTGTTACAGGCTTTTGCAGATGCTCAAAGCTCACCTTAAATTTTTCCAATGAGCAGAAATTAGGATTTTTTTAATTGAGGTACAAAACTGACGTATAACCTTATATTAGTTTCAGGTATACAACATAATGATTGTATATTTGTATATATTGCGAAATGATCACCACAATAAGTCTAATATCTGTTACCTTACAGTTACAAAATTTTTTTTCCTGTGATGACAACTTTTAAGATCTACTCTCAGCAATTTTCAAATATGCAATACAGTATTATTAACTATAGTTACCATGCTGTACATTATCCCCATGACATTTATTTTATAGAAATTAAGTTTCATTTTTTGTTTTTCAAATGAAAATAAGCACAAGATTCTAGGAAGACCCACCAAGTAATATAAGTATATAGATTTTAGTGTTATGAGTTTACTTCCCGTCAAATTAGAGTTTTCCCAAGAAGCTGAAAGTTTGTGTAAATATTATGAATATCATGGAGTTCTCCAAACTTAGGACTAGAAATTATTTTAGAAGTCACCCAACCTGACACCCTTCATTCTCTACGTGCCTGACTACAAAGGTTATAAATGGCGTATTTAACTACCTCTTCATCTCCTGAGAATATTTTTAAGTGGAATTGGATTAGAAATAAAGCACGTACTGCCTATTATACCATGTAAAAGAGGGCTGGGAACAAAGCTAATTTTCATTAAGAGATAAGATTCATTGTATCAAGATTTTATTTTATATGAAGCTGTTTTGAGGATATGCAGCACAGTAAGAAAATTACTAATAGATTATAATAGAATTTTTGCAGCGTTATAATCATAAAGATGAATCAAAGGGAGAAAGAAGAAAAAAAGGAAACAAATGGAAATAACATGCCTTAGATTCAATTTTAAATATTGTTCCTTTCGATTCTATAAAACAGTGAAATGGAAAAAAGGGGGGGCACTTTTGAATGTTTTCAAAAGATTGCTAACCTTTTCACTGAGTGCATTCTTTCTGACTACAATTGCTGAATGAAAACAAAAGAAAGCTACAGGGAAATTTTGTAAAATAAAATAAAAATAACCAAAAGAAGGGTAATGTTAGCCCTAAATGTGATGAAACTAATAGACTTTTTATAGGATTTAGAAATATTTTCATCGATACCCACGAATCGTATTTTTTTTAACTTCAAGTTGCTAAAATAAGGTGGCAAGTTTTCTATCAAGTATTCAACTGTTTGTTTTCCAATTGTGGAATGAAACCGGTGTCTATATGTTATTCCTCTGCCACCAGGAAAGATGGCAATATATAGGGCACCTCAGCATGCGATTCTTTGAAATGTGTTAGAAATGCTATCAGAAGTTTTCTCCAGCAATTGTCGTGGTCCGTATGACCTTCTCCCTCAGAATCCTGGCAGCAGCCTCTAAAGTAAGAGCCCTTCCAGATTTTCAAAGAGAATCTCTTGTCCCTTGTTAAGCCAGCGCTGAAGTCACATTGAAGAATACCCCTGTGAAGTCTGTAGCCCACAAAGAAAATACCTTCTGGGGACAGAATTGTTGAAAACACACTTCCCCCTAGAGGCAGAAAAGATGAAGGAATATTACACATGATTTAAGAACATTTGTGTAAATCAATGAGTATTGAGATTTTATTTTTGACGTATAGTTGATGTTTTAGAGGGAACCATTCAAAACATGGGAGGAAAATCAATGAATGCCAAAACATCAAATTAAAACTTTGCCTCTAGGTCTTAGCTTTCTTTAGCAGGGACTCTGTTAATTGACCCCTTTTCTTCTACTACACAAATCTACAATTTTTTGCCAGCACTATAAATAACAGCAATTACATATTTTTTCTCTTTAAGTTTATGATGCAGTTTCGTCAGAAACTACAGTTAAACGTGGCCTTGAGGGATTCTTTTGAAAACATTTCTAGGAGATTTATCTCCTTCTGGTCAGATTTCTTTTTGTAACACTGTCCTCTTTGGCTTTCATCAACTACAATCTCTTTTCATTTCTTTGGAGGTGTTCTAAGACAAAATGACATAGAAAGACTTCCGGAAAATGTAGGGCTGGTCTGTGATTTAACCTGAGTACTAGCATAAGGTTTCCTAGGATTTGCAAGCCACATGAAGAATTCTCATATCATTGACTTACAGAGAAGTTATTTAATGTAGATTATTATATTCACAAAAACTAGTGTTATGTGCCCCAACATCATGCATACCAATACAGACTATATTTAATTGGTGTATTTAGTTGTACATTGCCTCATTCCAGAAAGGATTTGAGAAGACACGTGAAAATATAACATGAATTTTGGGAAATTTTCCTCAGGGCAAAAGGCACAGCCATTGGGTCTCACTCTCTTGGATCCTGCTTTTTCCTTTTGGAAGGAGTGCACACTCAGAAGCCTCGCAGACATGTCCGTAGGTTATCACCTCACCTATTTGACCTTCAGTTTCCTCACTTTCCTCAATTTTCTCACTTCTAAAATGGAGATAATATCATCCTGGTGGTGGAAGCACAGATCAGAAAAAATACATGCCAAGTGCTTTGTATATAGTAGGAAATTAAAATTGGCAGCTCTTGTTATTACATTCCCATCAATGCCTGGTGAAAAGTACTATACCAAGCAAGCATTCAATAATGCTTATGGAATGAAGGAATGAATTCAAAACCCAAAAAGATATG